CTTCTCTACCTTTAAGATTAGACTTAAGATGTTCCTTTTTGATAAAGCTTATAGTTAGGGCTGGATCAGGTGACCCTGAGCCTTCCCTTAGTTATGCTGCTAGGCCTAGGCTGCTGGGGGGCCCCATGATGCTCTGAGTTTCTGTCCCCTCTCCTCTCCTCTCTCCATCCTTCTATATGCCACCATTACACATCACTAACTTTGTGTCTCCTCTCTCCTGTAGTGTGTTCTCTCTCTCTCTCCCTGTACCTTTCTACAGGTTGCCCTGGCCCTGGAGCTCTATGTTTCTGACGAGCAGTCACCAGCCACATCAACCTGACCAGTGTTTCATTGTTTGTTGTGTCTTGTTGCTTTTCTTCTTTTCTCTCTCCTCTATCCACTCACCCCAACCGGTCGAGGCAGAAGGCCGCCCACCAAGAGCCGGGGTCTGTCGGAGGTTTCTTCCGTTAAAGGGAGTTTTCCCTCCCCACTGTCACCAAGTGCTTGCTCAAGGGGGATTTGTTGGGTTTTCCCTATGTAATAATATTGATAACAGTAAGGTCTAGACCTTACTTTGTAAAGTGTCCTGAGATTACTTTTGTTGTGATTTGGCGCTATACAAATAAAATTTGATTTGATTTGACCATGCCTCAGTGAAATTACCCGGTTAAATAAAAATGATAATACCCAAATTTAATACTGTAGACACTGCTTAAAAATATTAGGGTCTATCCCTGAATCACATCTCCAATTTATCAGAATACAACATGGGCTAGAAAATAAAGAGTGTCTACATTAAATTAATAAAATACGATTTTAAAACCGAGTGGAGCGGAAAAATCAGCGCATTTCTAAACGGCGCCCCCACACAGCAGGTAGTTTTAAATCTGCAGTGGCTAATGAACGCCATAATGAATGGAGGATCGAGCACGTATGAGCTGCTGCTGGCTATTAACTAACATGTTTACTAGTCACCAGTCATTAACTACCATGACCAGTCATAACCTATCCTATCGACAGACCGCTAGCTATGGATCAACATCACACACCAGAACAAAGATACGACACAACGTTATGCTAATGCTAACAGTTTGCTGCTGACAAACCAGGCTGCTCGTGACTTACCTTTGTCCTCGCGCCGGTCGACCGCCATCACCACCGCTGTGACGTGCTCCTGCCTTGCACTCAGGCAGCCACGGCTAAAAACACGTGTTTATGAATTTAAAGACAAATTAATTAAAACAACAACAACAGAATGAGCACCGCTGAAAGAGGAAATGGCGGACAGGTCTGTGGCTGCAGTTTCTTCTTCGGTAAACAGCGTCTAGGTGAACTACTGCCATCTGTCGGACCGGTTGATACGACAAACCTGCGACTGACTATCTATGTATCTGAACAAATAACAACGACAGTAAACGGCGCCAGCGGCTGATACTTGCACATCAATAATAAAACATCAGAATTACGTCACAACAAACACAAGTGTGAAGTAATTTTTTGCTTTTAGAAGCAGTAATTTGGACGTCTCGATCTGTAGTGCCTCTCATTCTGGAATAAAGAGTCCTTTTTCTAACTGTAGGGGAAATCCAAGGAGGAGAGAGGTGACAAATACAAATCATTTATAAACTGCAAGCGGGTGACAGTCCTGCAGCATATTTACGTATTTTACTGATCAACAATGAAAACAGACTGATCAATGAATGCATTTTGAGTAAAACCCCTTGTTCTGAAAATCCCGTACAGGAAGTGGTTCGTGAAGACTCGAGGAAGCGTCTGACCAGAAGTCCACGTCAGTCCTGATGAACAAGAACTGCAGGAAATCCAAACTTTGGCTGAATCCGTTGTAGTTTAAGCCCGCGTTAAAATAAAACTTTTCTTTTGGACACAAAATGGCGGACGAGGCCACGCGCAAGGCCGTGTCGCGCGGAAGACGCCGGCGGGGCCGCGGGACCGCGCGCTGTGGCCACAGCGCCTGAAGGAAGAGTATCAGGCGCTGATCAGGTCCGTGGAGCAGAACAAGGCGGCCGACAACGACTGGTTTCGCCTCGAGTCCAATGCAGACGGCACGCGCTGGACCGGCACGTGCTGGTTTATCCACGAGCTGCTGCGCTATGAGTTCCGGTTGGAGTTCGAGCTCCCGGTGACCTATCCGGACACTGCGCCCGAGGTGGCGGTCCCGGAGCTGGACGGGAAAACCGCCAAGATGTACCGTGGCGGGAAGATCTGCCTGACTGAGCACTTCGCCCCACTTTGGGCCCGCAACGCGCCGCGCTTCGGCCTGGCCCACCTGATGGCTCTGGGACTCGGACCGTGGCTCGCCGTGGAGGTTCCGGACCTGATCAACAAGGGGCTTGTGGTCCACAAGGAGCAGCAGCGAGAGGCGGCCACGGAGTGACGTCACCTGATGGAACATTAAAAGACTGTTTGGCTGTAAAAATGATGAAAAACTGAACAGAGTCTGGTGAAGAGGACACTGGCAAAAAGATCTCGCTGCAGATATTCAGAGAAAATTATCATTATTACTGTAACAGACTCAAAACTGTGTCTGTCATGTTAGTAAAAAATTATAAAAAACTGAACAAAGTCTGGAGAGGAGGTCAGTTACACCGAGATATGACTAAAATTGTTATGTAATATAAAAATATTGTGCCAAGGAAATGGGAGGTGGGACACAGGTGGGGGTAAAAGTAGATGTAATAATGTATAACAATAAAATAATTTGACTTTAGTGAGGAAACATCTGGACCAATGAAAATATTCTATAAGTTTGTTTCAGAGAGGAGTGAAGGTGTAACTGGAAAATGATTAAAATGAGTTTGGTTGAGAGGTCATTAACATCAAAACATGACTGGAAATATTCAGAGAAAACATTGATTGGTAACTAATAAAACTGGCTTGTTTGAAAACGTCCAGTAAGTTTGGTTCCGATCAGAATAAAAATGATGAAATGAGCAGTTGGGTGAGGAGGTCATTTACACTGTGATTATTAGTCTGTAACATAAGCAAATTACTTTCGCTCAGTGTGGTTCAGATCAAAATGATGAAAAACAGAACTGAGTCTGGTAAGAAGGTAACTGATAGTGATATCTGATGGGAAATATTTGAGAAAAGTAATACAACAATGAAACTATTCTGTTGTTAGGTTTAGTGTGGATCAGGGTAAAAATTATGAACAGCCTGGTCATGCAGTTCTGACTGCAGTCAGTGGAATTGAAAATGACTGTGTCACACAGTGTGTAACGCTGAGGGGGTTCAAGCTGAAACAAAATACACTGACTATTAACATAAAACATGAAGTTTAAACAGGTGAGTCTTTTTGCATGAAGTTATTCAAATCTATCAAAATATAATTCAATAACATTATATATAAGTCCAAATCATAATGTTTTAGGTAAAGTTTTCATGTCAAAGTGTTTATTTTTCATATGCAGTTAGGAAACGTGTTTCCCTGTACAATGAAATTCTTACTTTGCCGTCCACGTGAATGCCACAAAATACAAATGAAATATAAAGTAGATAAATAAGTAACAGAAAATCTAAGGCACTTAAGCAGCAAATGCAGCAATATAATAAAAATATGTATGAATATAACAATGTATGCTGCATGGGAGCAGCATGTGCAGCAGTCAACAGTCATTGTCCAATTATTTGATTTGATTTATTTATTCTTTCAAGCATGTAAAGACAGTTGATATATCAACACACATAATTTTACACATATCCAACAAATGCTAATCCAATATCAATTTGCTTATACCTAGTACATGCTTGAATGGAGTAGGAAGAAGTCAGACTTATCCAGTCCTACCCCATGACATCATCTTACCATCATTGGTTTGCAAGCAATAAATGATTCACTTCTATTCTCTTCTACACCACACAAGTAATATATTAAAGAATTATTACA